GGAATCGAAGATTCGAATGTTGGATCTCTAATGGTTATATCACAGAAGTTTCATTGTAAGAATTTAATTGAGATTTTAAGATAAAGATGTGTGTAATGAACTACAATTTGTGCTTAAAGCTGTTTATGAAGTTATAATCTATTTATAGTTTAGACTCTTAAATCATAAATCAACAACTTTTTAAGTCATTATTACTTTTACTCATTATAGCTGATAATTTTGAAGCTTAATTAATTATTTTAATTCATATCAACACTACAAATCTAAAGGATCAATTATGTAGTCACTTAAATGTCAACAGTATCTGAGATAAAGATGAATTAGTCTGTTCTAAATGAAGTAAGATATCTTCCCCCACCAAGCATTTTTTTTTTTCCTACAGCAGTGTAAAGACCCGTCAAAGATTGTCAAGACAAGCCAGAAGCTATTAAATAAGCCATTCGAATGATAAATTGCAGGAAACATTGCCTTGATCAAATAAGTACCTTCCTTGAAATTCAACCTTGCTTTCATTATCTGCTTTGATATCAGTTAACCCCATACTGGATTCCTCCCGACAGACTAACCGTTAAAATGACCATATGTTGTTGTTCCAGGTGTTGAAGAGCACTAGTTCATCATTGGCTTAACCCTTTGAACCCCACGCTGTCACCACCACGCGCCACCCATCACAAAAGAAGAGGTGATGGCGTTCAGGATTATGGACAACTGACCAAGCGCTGTTTTTAGCGCCTGGACTTTCACTTCTCAAGGGAAAGCATCGAATTGGAAAAAAAGATTTTCCTTTTTAACATTTAGAGAGCCAGGTGTGTTTTTACATTAAAAGGGTTACACTATTTGCTACGATTTGTTCGTTTTTGTGCCTCTTGCAATAATCTCATGTTATCCAAAAGCTTTGTGTTATTTTCAAGTGGAACTTGTGTTTATGAACGGGTGGTACATGGAAGATCTATTTTTGAACTGCCCTGTTTTCGGATATAGTTTAAAGTTTCTTGCAGCAAATAACAGCGTTTTCTGCTATTGGTTCATGATTCATTCACTGTTATTGCTGAGTTATTTTATTTGAGTTTTCATCCCAAAAATATATGAACGTGTCGTATATTCTCTGCAGCTGAATTCTTTTGTTTTGATAATTACAAAAAGTCTTTATCTCTACATATAATAAAAGAAAGAGTCTGTCTGTGTGTGTGTGTGTGTCTTTCGTAAGCTAATAAACCCACGGCTACGAAATTTGGTACATAGGTGCATCTAGACAAGAGCCAGTGCACCTCGAAGCGATTTTTCCGAAATTCGAATTCGAATATTTTTAATTTTATGTTTTGTGCCGAAATCGCGTCATTTTGAGACATAACGGAAAGAGAGATTTTACTCTACACACTCCATTTTCACATTTTCATGAAACGTAAGCACTTAGCTATTTTACGAACTTGAAATAAATTTCGTGTTTCAATAAATCGATTAAATACGAATTTATTTAACAAAGAGAGCTTAACACTTTTTTAATGAGATTTTTTCTAAAAAAGTTTATTTTAAAAAATGTACAGTTTATTTTTCTTTGATTTTTGGACACGTTAAACTTTCATCCTTGCGAATGCTTTTACAAAAAGAATTTTGGAAAAATGATAATATTTTGTATTTTTTAAAAGATTTTTTAAATGAAAGCTTCCGAGTACACTTCTCACATCTTTAAAAATGTGATTTTGGCAACAATTTTCCTGTCTTATATTGCTGTTGATAGATTTTTGATGATGAATCGCATCATTTTGAATAGTTTCATTCTTTTAGAAATATGGGTTTGGCAACAATTTTTCATCGTATTTCTTATGGTCACTGTTTTTAAGAGATTGGCATATTTCATTGTCATTATATATATATATATATATATAATACATTTTTATTGTTTTTTTTTTTTTTTTTTTTTTGCTAAAGTTGTTTTGCAGAGTAAAATTCTGCGCGGAATTTTTATGTTTTTTTGAGTTGCTTTCATGTTATTTTTTGCTTATTTCACTGTTTTATAAGATATTGAAAAGTTTTGCATGATTTTTTTTTCTTCAACGGAAAGTTGTTAAAATTTTTTATTATGATAATTAATATTTGTATTAAGGGATATAGCTTATTTCATTGTAATTTTTTTCTCTTGAAAATATAAGATAAAATATCATTCATTATGCTTTGCTTTTCACACTTTTTTTGTTTTTTGTATTCTTTTATGTTATTTATTGCTCATTGCACTGCTTTTAAGATATTGAAACGTTTTGAGTGATTTTTTTTAGGAAACAAAGTTTTTAACCTCCTTTATACCATTTGAGTTAAGATTTTGCAAAAGGAAGTTGGTTAATTTATTTATTAGGATAATTAATATTTGTATTAAGGGATATTGCTTATTTCATTGTAATTTTGTTATACGCAATAACTTTTTTTATGAAGTTTTTCTGCAGAGTAAAATTCTACGCAGTTTTTAAATTTAACGTTTGGTGTTTACTTCAGCCATTTTTCCGGTACATTTAAAAACCAGACGAAGGCTGGCAGCGAAGCTGCTAGTTACATATAAAATAATACTGCATTTGGCTCTTCCAGAGTACTAAACATTTTCAATTTCTGTTAATCAAAACTTGAATTCTGCCAGTTATTGAAACTCAAGTTTTTTCTTGGGTCAGTTACTTTAGCAATAAATTACCTTTTAACAGACTGTTAAAGAATAGCGTTTTTAAAGTATGAAATTTAAGCTTGCTAGATTTTTATTGTTAAATTTTATTTGAATTACTTTTGCTTTCCTTGAGCTTACATGCAGAGTTTGACTCTTGATGTTGAATTTCTATGTAACTTATTTTGTTGGATTTGTTTCCTGTCCTGTTTTTTCCTGTCCTGTTTTTCTTTCATTTGGTTTCCTATTTCGCTGTTTATTCATCACTTCTTCATAACTAGACTATTTCTGTAAATTACATCTTAAAACATCTGACGAATTTGAATCATCTCAACGTTTTGTTTGAATTCAAGCAGCAGAAAATTATTTCTGGTTTCATTCATATGGGATACTACGTCGAAACGAGTTTCTAAAACTTTCCTAAAAATGAAATTTTCGCTTCTTCACTTTGTTATCAAAAACAATTATAAGTAGTTTTCAACACTATATCTGTATGTATTAAAGTATATTCATTTAGAAATTGATAAATTAAAATTAAGCTTACTAAGAAAGTGAACGCAATCTTTTTAGAACTATTAAAATGTTCTTTCGTCCAATTTTAAAAACTTTTTTTTTCTACTATACTTCATTTTTAGTAAATATTCCGGATTTTTTTCCCGATTTTTAAGTAGTGTCCAAAACGTATATTGTAAATATTAGATATGCCAAGAAAACATTTTTGTCAAAATCGTTTATTTTTCAAAGGATTGCGTAGCATAAAATCGATATTAGAAAATCAATAAAACAGAATTATATATTGTAGTAAATTTAATTAAAGTTATAATTTTTGTTTATTTTCATGCCTATTTTCATGTAATTCTATTGAGAATGATAACATATTAATTATTTTAAATAATTTCTCGTTCTGAAACTATCAAAATGTATAAAATTATATAGCTGTAAAATACAACGAAATATACAAAATTATGCAATTCTAAAATTATGAAAATGTACAAAAACATTTTAAATGTTTTTCAAAAATATATAGTTTCAAGTATTCATATTATTAAATAGAACAATAGTGAAATAAATGAACAAAACGTTATACCGAAATTTCACTGTGAATTACTGCATCAATTCGTCGGGCGTTCATTTACATAAAAGGCAGCGAACATGCATGTATCTTCTACCACTAGAATATTTTGGATATATCATATTATCAGTGTTCAATATAAGATTTTCAAATTTTTTAGAATCTGTTAATGATGAATATTAGAGCCATGAAAACGAAACCGATATTAAAATAAGCTGGAAATTGGACAGAAAGCATGTTATATTTAAAATATATTTTTATATTTTTCTGATGTAATGTCGGAATTTTTTTCTCCATTCTAATGTTACCTATACATACGAAATTGAAAGCGAATTAACATACAAAGGGTAAATATTTGTAAACGAAGATATATTTACAGGAATGGAAGATGAAGCTTTGCTTTATCTCTCTCCGAAAAGGTAACCAATAGTTAAAAAAATAGATTAATATAACTATTTTATAAGAAAAAGAAAAACCTTCAAAATTTTCTTCATTGCCCTAAAAGAAGAAATATGTTATTGCAGTAGATTCTAGAATAACATAAAAATAAATACAATTTTTCATTACTGGAAATCAGCTAATTCTGACATTTTATTAATATATCTACTTGTGTTGCAAGGTATTCAGTGCTGGTGCTGCTCAGAGCGAATATTCATCATGGACAAAAGTTCATGGAAAAGTACCTCTAAAACTATTATGGGTACCAGTTTAGCGTATGATAAAATTTATTTTCCAAATATTCCCCTTCTTTAAAATATATTAATTGTTCTGTCCTTTTTTACATCACAAAGAAAGAAAATATTTCAGTTTTAAGCTATTAAATTTCTATTTAAGAAAATTCCTTGAATGTTGAATAATGGGCCTTGGTTTTAATATCCGTTTTAAGTAGCATTTATTGAAACATCTGTATAAATGACGCAGAAATTTTTGTATATTAAACAGAAGAAATTTGATTATGCTTTGCAGAAAAAAAAAAAAAAAAAAAAAGCAATTTACTTAAAAACAGTAATTAAATCTCCAGAGGCCCTCAGATTCCATTCTCCGAAGTGCTCTGAGCCTAAAGTGGGAGTGGATCGAAGAAAAACAGCGTTATTGTGCTTTGTGTAATACTTGGGTAATTATTTGTTAACTCATAGTAAAATTCTTCTTAATTCCTTTTAATTTATAACTGTGCATTGAATTTTCTATTTAGTGTCAGAAATTCAGAACAAAACGATTTGCGCCAGTCCCCTTTCCTCCTGCTCATATTCCACTGTGAGAGGACAGTGCATGAAAACGAATTACCACATCAGTTCGACAGTCAAAGCTGTCTCTTCCCCTCCTTTTCTTTTCCACCACAAGTAGTCGAATTGCAGGTTCTTCGCGTGACAGCTACAAGGAGAGAATATTCATTACTTACTAATAAATTTAGTGCACTTTATTACTATTTCTTAGTACATTAGAAGCGATTTTTCTGTTTCGATGTTTACATTATGCTGCATATTTATTTAATTGAAGGCTAGCTAATCTTTATTTCTTAACTTCTTTTAATGTTTCATATGACAGTGTATTCTAAGTATACTGATTAATACTCTTTTCTAAAAATTTACGTGCAACTGAAAATAAAAGGGATATTTAATGAGCATTTGCAGTGTAAATATAAAAATAGGAGCAGAAGACGTTTTTAAACTAAATAATGGAAAAAAAAATGCTTTCGTAGTAAGTGATGTTGACTAAATGTTTTTATTTTGGTCTTTTAATTTGCTTGTTAGTGGTAGAATAAGTACTTCCTATAAATTTAATAACTTCACTGTTCGATTAGTTTCTATATTTAGACACGAAAAATTTGTTTTACAGAGCTGGATTAACGATCAAGCAATTTTAACTTGGAATGTATGGTACAGCCAAACCAAAACTGGTGTGTGTGTGTGGGGGGGAGAAATGAAGAAAAATCTGGTGAAAATGTTTTGTGAAGGCATTATGTCTTTTAGCTTCTAAAGGTCTTAATTAGGCCCTGCTGTAATTAGAACTTTCACACACGAGCTATCTGAAAGAGATCTTCTTTAAATCAGCAAGTGAAGATACCTGCAAAGCAATCAATAAAGGTGCAGTAATAATAGGAATGAAATTTTAAATCGGCTGATAAATTATAAAAAATTCTTGCAAGAACGAAAGACACATAATGATTTTAATCAGTCTGTTAATCCTACTAGCTAGAAAGTTATATAAAATTGATAATTCTAAATAAGAAATAAAAAGTAAGCTATGTTTTCCATGGATATTTTCTATTGTTCAAAATGATATAAACTGAAACTTAAACGTTTATCTAAACACCATACAAATTAAGAAAACATAGTTATCTACTATGCAATACTAGAAAAACCCCTAAAAGAATAGAATGTTCTGTGAAAAAGGTGAAATCATCTAATTGTATTGTGAAATTATAATATATCCAGACAGAAATGCGAGGGTCTCTCTCCTTCATACGAGTTGGAATTGGTGAAGAGAAATTTTCTTCTTCAGATAATTTTTAAAAAATTTGGTATTAAGCGGCGTGCTCTTTCACGCCGCTTTCAGTAATTAAATAGTTAAATTAGAAAATTTATTAGCTAAGCTAGCTAAATTTGAACTTAATTTAAATCAATTGAATATATAATTTAAATACGATTCAAAAAATTTAATTCAATACTAATTTCAATTTTATTTCACCTACTTCAGCAATTTAGAAAAATCAATTTCTTCGAGATTTTTTAGTTAATTTAATTCAAAAAATAAAATTTATTTTAATACATTTTTAACCATTTCAATGTCACAATTTTTGAGAAAATCACGAGCATAAAAAGCACTTTTTAGCCTTATATCCGTAAATATGTATTCAACATACACAATTTTACGCAAAACAGCGTGTCATTTCCAAGGAGTTTTCATTTGTCTCTACCTTTCCCAAAACAAAATGAATCTGATTCTAACATTCTGGGTTACATATGCGAATACACATATATTAGCCAATTTTTTGTGGTTTTGTTGTTTTACTTTCAGTCAATTATCTATATATATAAAGAAGAAAGTCTCTGTGTTTGTTCTCTAATAACTCAATCATTACTACAGCTACCGTCGCCAACTTTTTACAATTCTTTTCTGGGTCCTGGAAAAGGTCAACGTCCACTTTTTTCGGAAAAAAAAAAAAAAAAAATCGGAAACTCGGAAAAACGATAATTTTCCCCCTCATTTTTCCAAGTGGCAACAGTCTCGCAAGCTGGAGATGAAAATTTGCTCCGAAAGTTGTTGCTACTGTTCGCTTTGAAATACTAGTTTGTTAAAAAATTTCTAAGTTTTACGATGAAATAAAAATAGCATTGCCAAATATTAAATACATTATTCCGATTCCAAAAATTCGTGGGAAGCCATTTCGACTATTCCTATCTTCGTACGATTTTAATCAGCCGAAATATTAATTAAAACTCTGAAAGGGCTAATTTTAATTTTCGCACTCATTTTTCCGAGTGGCAACAGTCTCATGCGTTGGAGATAAAAATGCTTTTTATTTCGAAAAGTGTTGCTACTGCCCGCTTTTAAATCATAGAGTTTGTTAATCAAAAATTTGTAAGTTTTACAAAATCTATACATATAAAGAAGAATGCCTGTTTGTATGTTTGCTTGTTTGTTCGCGTTATTGATTTCTGATCGATTTTTTGCCACATTTAATCGAGTAAAATTGAATATGGGTGAAATATTGGATGAAACTTGAGCTTTTACGACCATTTGATAGAAAGACGAAAATCATTAAAAACTGCGTGCCATTGTTGCTGATATAATGAGAGAGAATTAACGTATTTTTCTATCAAAATTTTTTGATGTGGGTTCCATATCGCATCAGAGTGAAAAATGTATGACTAGGAATCGTATTTTTTGCACCGGTATTAGAGAAGGATTACAGCGGTATCGTTCTCTTTGTTGTTAGATGCATTACTCTTAATCTAACTTAACTGGCATCGGGTACTTCCGCTAGCAATGTTATAAAATGTAATATCTTAAAAGTTATTAGCTGCTTTAATCACGAGAACATGTTTTAGTTTCGTGATTTTCGAAATCGTAATAAGCAAATTATAAAACAGAAGACTTAGATTACGTTATTTTGCCATTTATCTGAAAATGGATATTCTTTCTGTATGAATAATCCGTGCTAACATTTAATACCGAGCAATTTGACAAACGTGAGGTGACTTAGGAAAATCTATACTGGTAAGAAAGTCTTAACGAATATGTTTGCGAGATACATTTCAGCTAGTTGATTGAACCTCGTAGAGGATGGGAGAAATCCATACCAATTACTGCACATCTGAGAAATCCAATCGCTATTCGGCAAATGGATGCGGAAAATCTAACCACGCAATCGGTGCTAGACCCAAAATGAGTAACTCCCTTGCTGGGATTATTAGTAAACAAGTCTTCCAACCCAAACCCTAGCCATCCTAAATGAGGCGAGACCCAAGACGTGCAGGACCGTGCCGGGAATTTTAGGTTCGACAGGCCGCACGTGCTGACCTCCCAAAACGTCGCGTTTATGTTGCATACCGGCATTTATGCCCCCTTCCCAAGCTTCTCGATGGCATTCTACCTCCACCAGAAACACTAGGGGTGGCTCACGTTCCAGTCATTCCAGGTTTGCAATGAGAGGTACTCGAGTCGAGCGGCTTTCACGCGCATGAGTGGATATTGCAAGAAAGAACCGGTCAGATGTCTAACATGCTGGACAAGAAGGGTTTCCAAAGTATATCAGCTTACAGGAAGCGTGGATGATGTCTAACAAACTAGAGGAAGATATATGGGTAAATGAGAATATATGTTTCCGACTATTACTATGCCTAGTTGCCGAAATCTGTCAGAACAAACACTATAAGAAAAACTACCAGAGAATTAAAAGGCTGTAAAATCTAAGATTATCAAGTAATAATCACATGCTTAAGAATTTGAGCTGTTTAATGTATAGTAGGTACATTTTGTGGCACAGACGTTTTTTCTTAGGTAGTTGAGAAGTTTACCACGAAAAGCTAATTATTAAGTCATTCAGCTAATAAATAAAATCCATTTTTAATGCTTTTTACCGAATACAGTGAAAATGCGATGAAATTGTATACATCTAATCTATGCAATTATATGTTTCCGACTGATTTATTTGCTTGCATGTTAATAAAATGCAACTACTGTTACATTTTTTTTTTTTTTTTTTTTTAAATTTAAAATTGTAACTCCGTTACAACTCTTCCATTGTTTCAGAGGCACAGATGTATCTTCAAATGATGAATTTCTGGATTTGAGTCCCATTCAGAGTACAAGTCCTTCATAATTATTTCCGTTTTACTTTGTATTTATCACAGTTTAGTGAGTCGGTTTCTAACGTAAGATAAGGAAGAGACATTTATAATGATAATGTTTTATGAAAAAAATCTGTCAGTCCGGTAACTATCCGGTAAGCATAGTGGTAGGAAAATAAAGTAACTCTCTGATACCTTTCACTGAGAAGTTTTCTATCAAAACTACTCAATCATATGGTCATAGCAGATAATCATATTACATATTTATTATGTAATATGATTACATATTTATTATGATTAGCTCTTAAGGCCCGTTCCCACTGGGGTTTATCTGAGCTAACGAACACAACTAACGTAGTCGACCCATCCCCAAAACCAGTTTTTCCCCATAGAGCAGCAAGTTGAAAAATCTGAACTGCAGGCACAGCGGAGCTAGTCGACACAGGGAACTGACTCCGTTAGCTCAGATAAACCCCAGTGGGAACGGCGCTTTATAGCTTTAGAAAGGCAACTCTTTATCTTAGCAATCTTCAGATGAAGCTTTTTGAACGGGAAAAGTCTCTGATCAAATTCCAGTATTTCTTCTCTTTGTTAATAAATTATGCTCTTTAATAACATCTTTACATTCCTTGTAAAATTGGATGCCACGTAATTTTTGCTGTACATAATTGTATGAAATGTAAAACGTCTCTTTCTAATATCTCAAGACATATTATTATTTGTAGAGGGATCTTGAGTGAAGACCACATTCGGAGAAACTGTGTTCTTAAATTTATTCTTTAAGAATCTTATCAAAACTTTAAAAAGCTGTATTTTTAAACACTCTTAAGAATACTTGATGCTAATAATTTTTGCGAAGCAAATGCCTTTACAAAAGATCAGCTTCTGTATTCTTTCACCTTAAATAAGAGTTACCATCTGAAAGTCCAGCACACTTAAAGCTTAATAAGCCTTTATTTTCGGCATAAAACAGGGACATGGAAGGGGTCGCTGCTTCATAACCCCTTATCACGTCCATCCAAACAACCCCTTACGACCCATATATTCGTGAAGGGGGGCAAAAAAAAAAAAAGATGA